ATATTTTATATTTTTATAATTAATAAAAGAAAGGTTCCCGTATTCTACGGAAAAATGTCTGTCGAATTGGCTAATTTTTTAATATGTTGTAATTTTTATTATTCTGAACAAAAGTCTCAATAGTTATTACAACTTGATCCTATGAGCCATTTCCGCATTACAAGCCTTAAAAGATCCAAATTTAACATGTAAATGTTAGGCCTTTCTACTTGGATATATACGTAACCCTTAATCGAATGTGTAAATACTTCATGATTATAACAATTATAACTAATATATAATTACACGAACAGTTATATTATACATTTACGGGATTGTTATTTTGTAATTACACAGACGTGTATAAATATGAAAGGATGATAACGTGAAAGATTTTTTAACTTTTAAATAAAAAATTAATATATGTACGCGCAAATACATGCATCCTCGCCGCATGTTCGCATACGTATGCACGCACATTCAATCAAGAGTCATAAATACAAATAGATAAGTGTATGTTAAGTTTGGATCTTCTAGGGCTTTTGTAACGCGGAAATATATCAAATTGTGCTCATTGAGACTTTTGTTCAGAATGACGAAAACTACAACATTTCGAAAAATTAGCCGATTTGACAGAAATACATTTTATTTTTTTTAACGAATACGAAAAACAGCAGCAAACAAAAGAAATGCGTAATACTCTTTTACGCTGCCAGCGACGCAGAGTTAGAAATAAAAGTTAAAAAATCTTGATTTTTACATACTTCTTAAAATTGCCATTAAATGTAATGAGCATAATTGATAATTTCCTTTGCGGCCAAACCAAGAACATTTAGATCCCAGCTTATTGGTAAATAGTTTCTCTAATCCATTTTTACTTTGGACTTGGGCAGTATTCCCTCCTAATAAATAGAAGAACATTTCCTATACAGAAAATAAAAGCAATTAATGTTTCGTGTAATAGATTTCATTTTTAATGTAATTATATTTTTTAATTATTCAAGAATATTTTATATACTTAAAAACTCCTACCAATTGTTTTGATGCGGCTATATCTGCTCCTAAGCCATTGTCAAACTGTAATAATTTTCTGTATTTATTAAAAGGTTTTGTAGGAATTACGTTTGTATTTTGTATAATATTTGGATTTATTGCATCAGCCGCGTTTGAAGCAATAACATTGATATTCATTCGAGAATCTAATTGTTTTAAGAATTCATTTTGCTGTTCTACCATTTTCCTAGTTGCCAAAACATTTTGTAATATTTGTAACATTATGTGATCTAAAAAATATTATTTCACGATAATAATTATTAATTAGAATAATAATTTGTAAATGTATACTTATAAAGATATACATGATTGAAAACTACTTATAACTTACACTCCAAAATCTTGAATAAAATATAGTGTTCTAGGTGAGAAATTAAACAGTATATATATATAACAGTTTTTTAAAAATAAATCATAATAATATCACGAACTATAGAATTCTCATCTCTGTTTGTCAATGCAGCAACTGTATTTTATTAGAATAAACACAATAGAGTAAAAACACAATAAAATTTGCATATTATTTTCGTTTTATACTTCAATTTCTGAGAAATATATACCTTCTTTGTCGATTTTATTAGTTATATTGATTGAAGTGCCATTATTCGTATTGAAGTTTGCACCCTCTTCTTTATTTGTAGCAATATCTTTTCCGATAGTTATATAATTATTGTTTGGTTCCTCCGCGTATATTGACAAATCTATATGTGCAAAAATTAAATAAATATTGAATAAAAAATATTGTTGAAAACAATAGTTTATTGAAAAAAGTTGAAAAATAATTTAGAAAATAGAAACCATTATTAAGTGTTTGTGAAAACAAAATTGATACTGCTTCATAGTGAAGTAGTTCATGGATTTGAATGGATTTAAAAATAGTAATACGTGTGTTATACGTGTGTGTATACCATATTGAGTTGTTATCGAAGGAGGCGGTGTCATTCTCGATGAATCGGAACTGTTACAGTAGTCATCTTGGCTTTTACGCTTTCTTTTACGTTTACCTTTCCCCAACTCAAAACATGATGTTTCAGTATCTGTATTTGATTTTTTTTTTGTATAATTTAATGCCTTCTCATAGGAGTCTGCAATTGTTTTTACGTTTACCTTTCCCCAACTCAAAACATGATGTTTCAGTATCTGTATTTGATTTTTTTTTGTATAATTTAATGCCTTCTCATAGGAGTCTGCAATTAGAGAAAGTTACAGTAGAGAAAGAAAAAATATATTTAATGGATTTAGGATTGAAATCATTATTCGTGTGTAAAGCTTTGCTTTAAGGCACCTTATGGTGTCCTTTATTAAATTTGTATGAAAGATAAATTTTGAATATGTTATATCAGTTACGTAAATTTTCTTAGAAGTCGTTGAATTACTGACTACATGAATAAACTCTGGAATAATAAATTATAATTCAAGTTAATAATTCAAGGAATCGATAAAAATAAATCTAATTAAAATTATTAATAATATGGCTCAATTGAATAAAATTAAGCATCTTTTATAAGAATAATAATATTTAGATGTTAATACGAATCTTAAAAAACTACAAATAATTTATTGCGAAAAATATTGCCTCAAGAAGAGTTCAGTGCGCGGTTGCAGAATTGGTTATTTAAATTCACACATAAACGTTTAAGCACTAAAATCCGCTTTAACCGAAAATAAATAACCTCTTAGTATTTGCTTTTGTAATTTAAAGACTGTATATTATCATATTTCATTAATTTTAATAATTTAATGATAAATTCTTACCACTTTGAATAAGAATTTTTACTGTATACATATCCCAGCTGCTGTTCGGTGGTACATTGTTCCGAATATATTTTCTAGGATTTTTAGGTGGCCATTTACATACAATGTGGTCTTTCTTAATTTCTAGCCATGAAGTTGGGACAACTTCAATTTCACAAAGTTCTTCCAGAAATTCAACGACAGACCATATCTATAGAAACAATGCCAGAAATTAAGTTTTAAATTAAACTGTATTAATTATTATTATAAAAGTGTATTAATTATATTTTAATAACATACTGTAATAAAAAATTTGTTTACAAATATCTTACATATAATTTAATCTATTATAATGGATGAATTTATATAAATTAATATTTGTGCACACTTATTTCCGCGCTGACTCTTATTAGCTTCAATTTTACTGTCTTGTTATATTCAATTTTCATTTACATTTGACTGTGTATTATTGGTAAGATAATAAAACCATTATTGTACGGGTATTTAATACACTAACCTGCGGGAGGTCACTCAGGGTCATGACCTTGACAACATATGTCAAGGTCAAGATCATCGGATGGGATTCTCCTTTTCTAGATATTTACCATTATTAATAATATGGCTCAATTGAATAAAATTAAGCATTTTTTATAAGAATAATAATATTTAGATGTTAATACTGTTACGTCCAAGCCTCAGGATTTTTATTACGTGGGAAGTTCTGGGTTAAGGAGGAGGCCTCGGAAGAACGTAACTGACACCAGATGTGTCTCCCGATCGTCTCGCCCTGCGGAGAGTTACGAGAGACAGTCGGACGCATTAAAAAGGATACGGAATTAGGTCAGTGTGCCATACTATAATACTTGTCTCACACTATGACTCTTATCTCGAACCGTACGCCCGTTGGTCCTTTAAATTTAGGCCAAGGAACTCAATCCTTATAGCCAGGGATATGGACCGAGTGCGATCTCAGGGATGACGGTTGGAATGCGGGGAAGGTTGCTTTTAAATCAAATCACATAATCTTTAATGTAAAAAGAACATCGAAATATTATTTATTAAATGAAATAAAATAGTTACAAATAGGTTATAGATTAATGAAATAATTAACTTAATTTATTACAAATTCTAAATTAATATATAGTTTACATATACGTGTAAGTGTGTGGTGAATCGGTTAAAGAAGGTGAAGTGTTGGTGGGCGAGGTCCCAAGGAGGAAGGACGTATTGCTAGGAGAGTGGCGATCGGAGCGGAAAAGGGGTGGTTGATACCTGGGATGTAGACCACGACTCTACAGTCAGGACAGGATTGGGCTACAGTGACAAGGTAACCTTGTATGTCACTCGGGTTTTGGATGAAGCACGGAGGGGATTCAGGAAGGATAGAGGCGGATCTTGGAACTGTAAGATCTAGTGGTTCTTTATCAGAAGAAGGATATGAAGGAAGTGGAGGATCTTCCTGGAATGATCTGCGAGGAAAGGAGGAGGAGAAGGAAAAAGATCCAGGAGATCATTTAAGATGGATAAAGGACTTGAAACGGGGAAGTAAGAAACATCGAGGGGTGGAGGAATTTCCGGCTGAGTCTGATTTTCGGTCCCCCGGTCTTGGACAGTACAAAGGGGTATGTGGGCAGTGCGGCGAGTCGGGTGCTCGGTACCAGTGGAACAGCGAGGGGTTGCCCCGTCTGCGGTGGTATGTTCCACTAATAAATAAAAATCGAGTTCGATAGTAAATTTTACTCGATTTGTATAATATAAGTGCAGGCTTACTGTCAATGGCGATGGTCCAGTCTCACTGTTGTAGTCAGCGTGGGTTGATCGGGTTGACTTTGAGGATGTTTGCTGGGCCTCGCGAGCAGCCGATCCAATAGACAGCTCCGGTAGTGAACTGCGTAACCACCCCGACACTGCACCGTTCGGACAAGATTGAGGAACGTCCAAGAGACCGACCGACACACGGACAAACTGACTCGCTCCAAGATGAGTCTCAGACAATCGACTCGGTCTTACGACACGGACAATTGCCCTTGACGACTCGGAAAAACTGCGATAAACTGCCGCGAGCACCCAAAAATCGGGGTTTTTATACTGATTCCCCCTGATTTGTCGGGCTCTGATGGGAGGAGGAATTTGTCGGTAAAACAAAGGGCTAAGTTTTCTAGCCCTAGGATTGGTTGGGAGTTAGGACACGTCTTGTGGGCGGGAAGGAGTTTGACCGATGTCACCGCTATCTTAAGTTTTATGGCCTTATCTGTTTAATGTACGTGAGGGGTCGCATTGAGTAAATGCACGTGCACTCTTTCTCGCGAGGCTCGCTGTATGACAGATTTTAATTTTTACGAGCGCAACTTGTGAGAATCATCCGCAGTTTGGCTGACAGTAGAGTGAATATTTATGGCTTTACTGTTTTCGGTGACAGTAGAGTGTATATTTATTACTTTTTCTAGCTGAGACTTCGAGGAAATGATTCGTGTTCTCACAATTCGTGCACGTACGCTCGTAAATAAATTGTCTTAAAATTATTTTTATGGCGAAATAGCGAGTACTTTTGTTTAGATTTTTGGTAAGACGACAGCCAGATTGTCGGTTATTTATTTATGGTCTCGCTATCTCGTCACTTGTAGACCTTTCCGGAAGAAAGAATCGTGAGAATCGTCTGGACGTAACAATACGAATCTTAAAAAACTACAAATAATTTATTGTGAAAAAAAAAAATATTGCCTCACAAGAAGAGTTCAGTGCGCGGGTTGCAGAATTGGTTATTTACATTCACACATAAACGTTTAAGCACTAAAATCCGCTTTAACCGAAATTAAATAACCTCTTAGTACTTGCTTTTGTAATTTAAAGACTGTATCATCATATTTCATTAATTTTAATGATTTAATGATAAATTCTTACCACTTTAAATAAGAATTTTTACTGTATACATATCCCAGCTGCTGTTCGGTGGTACATTGTTCCAAATATATTTTCTAGGATTTTTAGGTGGCCATTTACATACAGTGTGGTCTTTCTTAATTTCTAGCCATAAAGTTGGGACAACTTCAATTTCACAAAGCTCTTCCAGAAATTCAACGACAGACCATATCTAGAAACAATGCCAGAAATTAAGTTTTAAATTAAACTGTATTAATTATTATTATAAAAGTGTATTAATTATATTTTAATAACATACTGTAATAAAAAATTTGTTTACAAATATCTTACATATAATTTAATCTATTATAATGGATGAATTTATATAAATTAATATTTGTGCACACTTATTTCCGCGCTGACTCTTATTAGCTTCAATTTTACTGTCTTGTTATATTCAATTTTCATTTACATTTGACTGTGTATTATTGGTACGATAATAAAATCATTTGAACTGAAAGCTCGTATCAAAAAATGACTCAGGACTTTTTTACTTGGATTCTTGTCCTGTATCTCATGGTATACTCCAAGTGCGA